TTTTTTAAATTACTGAAAATAACAAAATTACCTTATTTAAAGAGATCAAAAGATGGGATAGATGAACTTGATTTTATAAAAAATTCCAAAATTGATATCATTTTAGTATGTAGTGATTAATAATGAGGGATTGTTTTGGGCTCTCACCCTTTTTTCAGTTAAGAATACATTTAGATATTTCAAAAGTTCCCTAAGATGAAGGATAGTGAAGGTTTTAGTTCACTAAAGTATTTGTTTTTGTATTGTTAATAGCTTTTCTTTTCAGAATGACAAAATTAAAATCTTTTTAGCTCATCTCCAAATTGTATTTGTTATTATTCTTTACTTTTAGTTTATGAAGGCCTGATAGTCTATTGGTACTAGATATATGACAATACTAGTTATTAAGATATTGAAATACTTTTGAACTGGTTGGTAGATACAGCCAAGAGCCCTCCAAGTGCAGCTCTTACCTACTCATAACCCAGCAATTAAAGGGTTAGTGCCTGGCACAGAAGTATGCCTCTAAAACCTTCTAGCACTAAGGCATCTGTACTTATTGCTTTGTTCCCTTACCACCTACCTAACTGTTCTCCTTTTCTGTACCACTGTTGACTTCCTCATTCCCCCTAACCAGCCTCAAGGGTGGTCTAGGGTAGGAATGAGGGAATACTTTGGCTTATCAGCCTAATTGACCACTTTTCTGGTGGAGAGTTGCCTGTCCTGGTTGTTAAATATTTTAAATATTATTCCTGAAATGTAATTAATACTACTAGAGTTTAAAGATTTATTAGCGAAGATCAGATACCTATCCAGTAGAGATAAGATAAAAGCAAGGGTTAGTCATGTGGTTTTGGTTATTAATATTCATTTTATTTTATGAAAAAGTGAAGTGGAGCATATTCATGTTTAGAGTCTGTCACTGTTGAGCAGTTTAAAAAATATCTGTCATTGACAAATGGCAAAGAAGTCACAGAAGAAAAATTTCAATGGCTCTACAAAACAGCTTTTCTTTTTAAGATTATGTAGTTTTTTTTATTCTCCCATTTGCATTATACCAAAATCTGAGACTAATTTTGTTAGAATAAAATGGATTTTTAACTGCTGAAAATGATCAACCAACCATGATTTGAATTTTATTACATATTATAAATACAGGTAATAAAATTTTAGGATTTTGAACTTTTTTCTCCAAATTTTTTGGTATTAAAATTAATTTTAAAATGTATAATGTAGTCCCATTACTGTTAATTTAGGTCTTCTAATTGCCAAATCCTAATTCTGAGATGTTATTAATATAGACTTTGATGTGTTTTTGTTTATTTTAAAAATAATTTTTCTATAGTGACATAATTTTATCAGTGATAATAGCAGAGTAGTAAAACAAGTTAATATTATTTTTGAAATTTCATCATTTTATGTTTTTAACTTTTATAGCATAACTGTTATATATAGTTAAATTTTAAAGACTGCACTAGAATGTAGGGTCTTCATTAATAACCTTTGCTAAAGTTAATATGTTAATTTTCAATTCATATTTTACTTCATTACCCTGAAGGGATGAGACTCACTCTTATTAATGTTAGTATTTTTTTTTCTTTATGATATATGGTGATTCTTGACCAAGGGGCCTGTCAGATTCTTGGGGTGGCTTAGGAGAGGAAATGGGATAGGGTACTTTTTAGTAT